CTCGTTCGTAGACATGTGTTTGGGATCATAATGTCTCTTCACATTGTTTCTTCAGAATGACGACTGTTTCCTTACCTATCAAAGCGCCTTGTTGTTATGTTGAACAAAAGTAGGCTTTTGCCCATCTTTCTCGAAATGTCTTGCATTCAGTCCATTTTTCGCTTCCTTTGGTAACTCATGCTGTTCGCTACAACTGTTCAACACACTCAAAGAACTCTAGAATGAAGCCGTGTTTCCTCTTCACAGCTTTACACGATTAATCATAACAAATATACTGCACCTATGGCATCAATCGCTGGTTGATGGTAATCTAGGTATTAATCCTCTGAAAGTCTAATGAAGGAAAAACAAACGAAGTTAACAATATTTTTTCACGCAAAATTACGAGGTTGATCGAAGGTCCACGGGCCGGATGAGAGACCTCGGCGGGACGTAGGTTCAGCACCACTGCTCTACGACCAACGGCGCACTACAGAACCTTGATCACGTCTCAGCAGATGCTCTGAGTGTAAACCTACTTGATGCACACACATACACATAACAAATTTCACAGCGTTATCATAAATCCCACTTCAATCGCAAAACCTGAAGGGAATTGGTAAAAACCTAACAATAATATCGGATATCAGGCAATAACATCAACTATCGCCCCCACGAAGTCTCATCGCGACGGAAAGAGATCGCTTGTCGCAACTAATTCACAGTCAAACCTGATGTCACGAATCATGAAGTCAGTTGCACTGGACTAACCAAATACTAGGCACTGCAATGGTTTGAAGCCAGCCTGGAGTTTTGGGAGCCGAAGACAGCGCCCGTTAGGACGAAGAATACTGGAACAGGTCCGCAGGTGTTGGCATAATGCGCTGGAGGAATCGTATCTTGGATCCGTTCGATAAAAAACTAGTAGTGAGACTCAAGCATCCGGGAACGGAACGGGGATTTAGCGATAAGGATTACTCACACCGGTGCTGTTTCTTTCGCTGTTGATGGCACAGTGACTGCGCTGTGAGTTATTTCAGGAACGGAGCTCCTCATCACTATACGATGTCTTCTGCATCGCACGCGCTCTAAATTTTCAGCTGGCCTCGTTTCTAGCAATGTAGTTCCCCGCCGGTGTTCTTCGGACACCAGTGTATAAATCCTTAAGTGACACTGTCCATAATTTAACGACTCTGCCCCGAGCGTTTGGTGCTCACAAATGCAGCTGCAATTCAACACAAGGCTGCTCCTGACATTTCCTAACAATGACGTTGGTTTGCCTTTCAAAAATGTTATTCCAGACATGCCTAAGAAGGTCGGGAGGCTAAATCGGTCACCCAGTTGAGCAATTGGGTTAAAGGTATTTACATTTCGTAAGCGAAAGCAGTACACTGGTAAATACTGGCTCCAGTAAACCGAAAGTGCTGATATTATGAGATACCTGAAAGATCCTCCATTTAGGTGAAGAAATCTTAGTCATTTTAGTTTCTAGCCGTATGTACCAAGAAGAAGTCGCTCGAAATAAACCAAGCCAATCGAAAACCGGTCTACTTATCAATATAAAATAACGGTTAAATGACTAGTTCCTCAAACCTAGTTCAAATAACATTCGTGAAAATTTAGATATTATTGTAAACAACCGAACCACAATGTTTTACGACGACGTACACACATTATGGTGCAGCAGCGATGTATCCCAGTTGCCACTTTAGCTGAACATGTGCGAGCGCGTGAGCATTTATTCATGAAGGCGGAATCACAAACTATATAAGAAGCATCTGAGAAAACGAGCAGTGCGCCGAGGTGTCCGTGCCAATTAAGTTGCACCTCAGCTGGCGCAAAGTACTCTGTTTACGACTCGTGATGCACAGGCAGTCATGTTAAAGATAGCGTCAAATCGACAGGAAGCTCGACAGCAGCATCTAGACTGCCAGCAGAAAGACTCATTGCCAAGCCCACGGTCACACATGTCATTACCGGAAATCACCTTCATCTAGGCTACTTTGTGTAATGGGATAGCATGTATTGATGAATGCTCTTGTTAGTGCACAAAGGAACGAAGTTCTGGGTTGACATTCGTGAAGACCATTGTATGGTGTTAGCATAAGTCCAGTGCAACCAAACTAGGTGATAGGCCACAGATGGGAAATCCATATTCCACTAGAGATCCCCAGTAACTCGTCATAATAAGGGGCGTTAGATGTAATTTCCCCACAACCACCATGAATGCTGGTATAGCTTTCACGAGGCATGAGCTTTGTCACCAACATAATTTGTAACTAAACGCAGCCGTACATGTGCTGCATTGAAATATTATCCAAGATTGTGATATCCGTGACATTCAAACTGCAAGTCAACTTAGAGGCCATTGATGCGTTTGTCCAGTTTTTGCAATACTCCCGATGCCCTAAAAGTTCTCGTTCTATCATGGTAGAAGGCTTAGGGACTGAAGCTAAGAGCTCACAAAATCAAAATATCAGTCATCACATCAGCTGAATGTGTGATCTGACAATTGACATTATGGAGAGCAGAGCTTAATAAACGAACGTTTTTCTAATAAATGACAGCTGGTAACAACATAGACTGGTTATGGGAGAAGCTAACTTTTAGCGAAACGCATTAGACCAGGGCCTATGAGCGATGGAAAAACGCATTGCTCACAAAACCATCGCTAAAACCCTCTTCTGATCCGTTGCGGTTCCTCTGAATAAATAGTGGGCTGTGGGGTGACGCTCAGGAGCTCCATCGATGTACACGCAATTTTGCGGGTGGCTTAGATTTCGTGTATCGCCCAATCAATGACATTTGGCAAGAGAAAAGTTAGTGTGGCACGTGGAGCACCCAGACCACAGTCCCATCGCCTGTGAGATCGCAGATCTGTCGTTAGCGAAACCGAGTTCAGAAAAGTAGTAGATAGCGAGTTCGCACTGAAGAACGCCGTAGCAACCGCGTCATACTACAAATAACAGCTTGCTCGTGTCGGCCGTGATCGATCCTCTTGGATCGCTGGAATCAACGACTGAGCCTAACATAGCTCTAGCAACCAGAAACAACGAGGCAGCTATTCGGCTCCTTTTTGGAAGTGTGATAGCTGCCTGACTAAGTGATGAATTCGAATTATACGATTTAAAGTCGTTCCACTAAGATTCACGGCATCCGTTTCCGGATTTGCCCGTCAATGTGGCCTCCATAAGACAGCAACACAACGCTCGTGCATACACAGGGATCATGGGTGGCGCGCGAAGCACCACACATAGCTCCGTCCACACACCACATATACGATGTCAAGCCGAAGGAATAAGATAGTGATGCATGTGGATGGGAGCCATGATTGATTCAGAGCCGTCTCACACTTATTAAACATGTACATCGTCAGTCTAATTGTGAAATAATGCGTACCAGACTACACGAGGCGGTGGAAAGGCCGTAACCCACTCCACGATGGATAGAACCATCCTACCAGCCTAGCGCGATCAAGAGGACCGTGCACCTTGCTTTCCCAAGCAACGACCAACTGTCCACAGGGGCCAGTAATCGAGGTGGAAGGTGTTAGACAACTAAGTATCATGTCAAGGTTCAAATCAAGCGCAGCCAGGTGGTGTACATCACACGGGATGGCTGGTTTCGAGCGCACGCACGCACGCCCGATAGATACACGGTAGAGATGACAAAGCACATCAGATGACTCATCAGCCTCGGTCTCGCCAATCAATATGAAGTACAGAGCGTCTACAACCCCATAAATTAATAGACATCTTAGATTTGGGAACAATCTGTTCTGTACTAGTCCTTAACGTATAACCCAGTCATATCAGCTGATGCCTTCCTCCCATGGTCCAGTAATGTTACTCACTGATGCCAAGGAGTAGAGATGCGATTTAAAGACCCATCTGGGACATCTAAAATGCGCGCCGCTGACGAGTTTCGGAAGAAATGCACGTGTGAATGGATTGGGACGCGCAATCTCAAGCTGGACAGTGATGAACTGTGCAGTCACAGGAGCATTATCTGAACTATCATCAGTGACTGGAACTCAATTCACAGTTAACCGTGGTCCGAACAGATGTTGTGTGTCGCAAACTCTAATCCCACAATAGCTGCCACAGATGAACACCTAATGAGTTATTGACCGCTGTGACAAGCCGCGGTTCGGTGGCATAGAGGGAAACGCTACAGCCGAGAATGTCAACATCCTGCGATCGAGTTGTTGTTCTGCTATTTCTACCTGACGAATACAAACGAATACGAAACTGGTCTTGTAAAAGGTATCAGCAGTACGCCGGTACGCAGCACCGACGCTTCGCTCCCGCGCGACTACCACCAGTCGCACGTGGGCTACACATACTACGAGGGTCGCTCGATCCCTACGCAGACTCGAACCAGCGGCCTACGGGTTGCAAGGCACGCTTGTGATCCTTAAGGTTAAGTGCCGGCGGTCATTGAATGCTGTGTCATGAGCAACCAATATCGAATACATCTGAGCTGTTCGTTTGTTTTCGGCGGTTTTGTCGTTGTCGGGCTAGGATTAGCCGTGATGAACTCCATGTATCGATGCCAACAAGGATGATGAACGCGTTTGGTTGAATACACTAGTTGACATGGCGATCAGCCAACCTCAGTGGTGTTTGTGTTGCGAGCGTCTTTGTTCCTCTGATTTCCGCTCATCTTCTCCCTCCAACAATGATCTCACACTGCATGGGTAATGTGGCACTTTGCATTGTATTCTGTAGTGTTTTGTACCTCGCTCTTCATAGATCTTACCTTAAGGATCACAAGCCTGCCCTACAACCTGAGGGCGCGGGTTCGACCCTGCGTAGGGACCGGGCAACCATCGCCGTATCCTTAGCCCACGTGCGACTGGTGGTGGTTGCGCATCGGTGCTGTGTACCGGCGTAAAGCTGATGCTCTTCTTCTTCCTCTTGTATTTTGACAGACGAAGTGTGTTTCTCGCCTTCACCTAATGTGTAATAATGATGATGACCTATATAAATCATTCAGCGTCTCATGAGAGGTGTTCGGCAAAAATCCATAAAGTTACGTGTATTGCCAAATGTAAATAGACAAGTGAAGAAGCGAAGTAGGCAAAGTAGCATAAACCAAATAAAGTTAGGACAGACTAGGGAAACAATGGCGCCGATACTCAGTGGTATGTTTACACAAGCGGGGAGGGGCACTGATCACCTGTGCTTTTTCGCGGGACACTGTCTCAATCTTTGAGAAACTCATGAAGCAGAGTCAAACGATGCTTCTCGCATAGGTCCATGGCGTTTTGCAAAGCGGCTCGGTCGGTTATTTTTGCACGTTCCACTTTCCAAGCCAAGTCTTCCACTTCGGACTCTAAAAGTGCCTGTTGGTATTCGAACAGTTCTCGATTTTTTAGGTGTTCAGAAAAGAAGGCCATCGGATAGGTGTACTTTAAGGTGTAACGGCAATCGCGCAATGTGTCTGCGGCGGTCAGCAAATATTGCCAGTCAATCCAAGTGCCCTCTTTGTTTAGTACCTTCTCATGAATTCGCTTGGTGACAGCGACTCGATGTTCCTGTTCCAGCTGGAGGCTTCGCTCGTGGTTGGTCCACTGAAAATAAAGAATTGTTCGGATTACGAGAGTTTCAAAGCGAGAGGAAAACAACCAAAGCGAAATACAGCAGATAATGGCTTAGTGTGCAGTCATCTCCTTCGTGTTTTTACACTTCTTTGGAAATAGAGTCGGCTTGGCAAGCCAAAACCAGTAATTCTGCAATGCAACTAAATGGCTCAATCAAATGGGCACTGGCACTATGAAAGGAGTCCGACAGCTAGCCTGTAAAATGCATAGCTGTGAAGAGTGAGCATAGCCGTTTGAACCGTGTATATTTTCGACATCCTAGGAGTGATAATTTGGTTGTGTATTGCTCCGAATGCGTGCTAAATATGGATAAGATATTTGACCAACGTAACCTCTGATGCCCCTGAATGCTTAATTAGAGATGACGAACATCAGCTTGCATTATCAAGTTAAATAAACATTAAAGAACGTGTGTAACGAAAAACCAGTTCAGTAAGGTAGCTTGACCTTAGGGGACAGTGTTTTATTGACCAACACTGTTACCTCAGATGGAATAGAGTCAACGGCGCTGAAAAGCAAGGTTGCACCGCGTATGAGAGTTAACGGCCGGAACAACTCGTTAGGCAGATATGCAGAGGTACTTGGATCAGTAAAGTCATGCACGCCGACTTCAGCGGGTGCGTAAGGAAGAAACAGAGGATGGTCGAGTGTGCTAGCCAAGGCACAACAGGAGGTTCGTCCTACCTCACCCAAAAGAAAAACCATCAGCGGAATTTTGGTCGTTTCATTCGTCTTCGCCAACTATGTCTTCCGGCTAAATAAGAATGAATAATAATGTGTCAGCTATACGCGGTAACGGCGCTTCGCTGCCGCGGGATCACCACCAGTCGCACGTGGGCTGAGTATAACGCGAGGACGCCCACCCCTACGCGGATTCGAACCGGTGACCTTATGCTTGCAAACCAAACGCGCACACTCGGCCACCGGCTGGGTACTATCGATAATGATGATGATGATCATCATCAGCAGCAGCAGCATCAATAAACGTCAGCTGGGGATGAGAAACACACCTCAGTTAATGTACCACAATACAAAAAGATAAGATACTCAAAAATTACAATACAAAAAATCCAAAACAAATAATGTTAAACATTATATTATGCATTCCGTATGAGATAGGCAATTGGGGAGGGAATATAAAGAGGAGGGGGAAGGATAAAGAAACTCACAACACAAACGCCAATGGGGCCGGCTCTTTGCCATATCAGCAAGTGCGCCAATTCAAACGTGTTCATGGTCCTTAGGACCTTAGCCAGACAGTCGGGATGCGCCAACCGACGCCAACCTCGAAGTGAGAATATTCATATTTTTCGACCAAGTAATCGCTTGGCGTCCCCTTCTCTTCTTCTAACCGCACCTCCGGCGCGCAAACAATGCACGTCGCGGCAGTCAGTGTGCTAGCATGCGCAACACGGGTAATAACGCACTAACAGAAACCAAGCATGTATGTATGTAATCTCAACAGCCTAGCAACTAGACATAGAGCCAAAAAAGCCATGGAGATTAGCAGATAAGGGGAAGTCACTGCGTTATAATCCTCATGGTATAGTAGTTGAAGGTGAGCAATACACTTCAGCTAATATACCGCAGGAAGAAGGGAACATTTTAACAAAAAGTAGAACAAAACATTGTTTGTTTTTCACACGCCGCTTTTGCTCTTTTTTGTCCGTTTGAATGTATGTAGTATTAAACATGTAAATCAATACAATACTGTACACAATTCTTCCACTGATTCCGGTTGCGGGCCATGTCTTCAAGAGTGCTAAGCCATGGGCACTCCTCATCTTTGGGTCCCCATCCTGGAAGACGTACGGATCCAACAGCGGCTAGACACGACATTAGCGATTTCATGTGTTGCCGCCAAGTGGAAGGCTGACCACCACGTGGTCGCCTCCAGCCAGGTCCTTGACGAGCGAATAGAGTGCGACGCGGTAGACGCTCAGGTGCCATGCGTAGGACGTGACCCAGCCATCTTAACTGGAGCAACAAAACCAGGTTGTTGAAGGGAATACTCGCATTCCCCAAGATGCGACGTCGAACGTCATTGCTATTAACTCGATGTTGCCACCAAACACGAGTTATCCTCTTTAAGCAACCGTTATTGAACGCAGAAAGACGACGCATGTCTTCCACGCGAATCGGCCAAGACTCGCACCCATACAACAATACTGAGCGAACTGATGCGCTGTAAACGCGACCCTTTAGTGAGAATGAGACGTCGCGACGACGCCACAAGTGCCTCAGATTAACAAATGCTGATCGAGCTTTAGCGATACGAAGAGAAACTTCTTTGTTGATAGTGCAGTCAGCAGAAACACAGCTCCCAAGGTAGACGGAACTATTTGCCTGTTCAAGTTGTGCACCCTCGAGAGTGAGCACGGGGGTAGGTGAAAGCCAATCATTGAGCAGTACTTTTCACTTCGATGGGGCGAAGCTCATGCCATACTTAGACGCTTCAACCGCCAAACGATCCAAAATGAGTTGCATACCCTGAGGATCGTCACCAAGTAAGGCGATATCATCAGCATAATCTAAGTCTAACCAAGTGCTTAATGTTCGGGAGTATCAAAGCTACAGAGACATCACCCAATCAGACTAAGCACGTGGTTATACCGCTCGTCAGGTCAGGCGAATACGTACGTAGAATAGTCGTCCGCTGATAGTAGGATACAGCTAATGCATGTCTTTCTAAGTATGTAGAGGCAGTTTAGCCGTGTCCGGTACCGGATTATTTCACAAGATCTCAAGGAGGTCCAAGTGTGATAGTTTATACCCGAATTGCAGAGGACACAGGCACTCTATCGAGAGCAATGAAGCTGGAATTGGTGGTAGTTCGCGAATGTCTGTCCCAGAAAACAAAACCCAAACGGAAGTCAACCAAATAAAACCAATGCTCGACGTAGTCCGAGGTAAGTCATAGTGATGCGGAGCGAATAAGTTATTTAGAACTTTATTCAAGTTAGCCCATACGAAGAGTAAAGTCAATGGCGTGATGATTCATCTGGCCACCCTGATCTTGCAAGCAGTGTACGGTGAACAGCACAAAAAGTGAAGGTTTACATAACGCATTAGCAGTACGCTGGTATGCAGTACCGACGCTTCGCTGCCGCGCAACCACCACGAGGGTCACCCGGTCCCCTATGCGGGATCGAACCCCCGACCAAGGGATTGCAAGGAAGTTTTGTGAGCCTTAAGGTGATGGTATACATGATTGATAGCGAAACCAGGGTAGTCACGATGAGGATAACAGTAACCAAAAATGTATCGACATCAAGCAGGCACAAAGAGCCTCCATCGTTTTAGACAGGTTGCCAACAAAATACACATATTTTGAGGAAAGAAGAACAAGGCATGTGGATACCGATGGTCCGAGATGCAACTCCATAAAGAGTAACGAAGCACACGTACTGAGTATGCGAAGCGATCCGTATGTCAAAAGATAGGTGTATGTGTTGGGTATAAAGCGGATTGTAACATGGCCAAGTTTTGTGGGCGGTGTCAAGCATTACCGTTGCAAACATGGCGTCGTAACCATAAATAGACGTATGAATAGAGCATCATTCGCAATCAAACGACCTCACACAGCAGTGTGACAATTCCCGTCTTGCCGTAGGTGACCTCGAAAAATTAAAAATCGTGTTTTAAAAGGTAGGGTCGACAGTACATCAGTAGTACGTATCGAGGCACTGATGTATAGAAATTGCAAGAAATTTTACGCAGGCCACGATACTGCATGGTCGCTCAAACCCATACAAGAGAAGAGATGCGAAACTGAAGCGAAATGTGCAAACTAAATGCCTGAATCACTATGCTAACTGTCCGGCTCTTCAGAGATAGGGATATGATCCTCACTTCTGAAAGCACCATCAGTAAACATGAAGCTCAAGAGGCGGACGAAGACGTTCATTGCGGTTATATCAAGTCGTTTGAACGAAGCTAACCAGCAGATTGTAGACAGGCAGACAAATCAGTCGCTGTCGACGCGAACTGATAACACATGGATGAGACAGAGAGAGGAATCAGGATCGGCCCATCCTGGAAGGAACAAAGCACAGGTTTGTCACGAGCAACAGTGAAATGGATTGGCAAGAATAGCTACGAGCGAACGAAGCGTGTGCGCTGATCAGACAGATAAAGGAGAGCCGAGGCTTCAAAGCGTGACTTGAGGAGAACAATGTGGGCGGAGCAGAAGTGGACTGAAGCAATCAGAAGGTACGGACTAAAGAACACAGAAAAATCGCAGAAGGCGTAAAATATGGAAAGTAATCAAGGTGAAAACATTGCGACTAAACAGCCTCACTCACTTATGTACAGTACAACCGATGCTTTGCTTTGCAAATAACAGTCTTGGAGGATTACGCAACATCCATAGTACCGACTAAGCATTACGCGTTTCCTGTCCTCTTCAAATGAACAACCGCACAGCCAATGTACACAAACAATGAGCACTGCGGTTAGAATCATGTGAAAAAACTGAATGGGATCACGGCTGCCACACTCTTGCTTCACACTTCCCGTCATCGCATCTCGGCGCAAGTAGCTAGCTGTCCTGGTAGCACAACCTTAACCACAAATGTAGCGATGTGAAAAGAACGCGGACTCTTGAAACCATAACGCATCTCGAATAATACAACATGTACAGTGCTCTAAAACCCGAAAAGCAACTTCTAATCGTTGTGTAAAGCACTGCCCGCGGAGCTCAATGACCTAGTGATCATGGCGATAGCTGCATAGCACTATGTGCCGAGTTAAACTCCCAGCTCGGCTATCTCTACCTGATGAGTCTAAACCAGGACGAAACCGTCGATCGTGGAGTGCAGGGATGGGAGAGAGCCACAACGAAACCCTCCACTTCAATGACAGTCCCAGTGACTGTATTGGCAGAGGCTGACTTCATAGTCAACCGAGGTCACGATTGAGATTGCGTGTCACAATCCAAGACACACGGCGGGTGCTCCAAGACCCGAAAAGCAAAATTTTACATCCTTTCTCTATCGCTTCGTTCACAGTTAAGATTGTGCTACAAGGGCAGCTAGTCATTTGAACCTGGAATCAAGAGGGAATATTGGTGCGAAACAGGAGTGTGGCAGCTCGAGCCCAGTTACAGTTTGACCTGAGTTGGTTAAATTACAGCGATCTGATTGGCCAAATGTAATGTAGAAATGAACGCATTTTCGCTATCTGAAAAGGACGGGCTACTTCGGTGTTAGTCCTATCCGCGTCTCAGGACGATTAGGAGGTGAACATAAAAATAAACAGGAAATGTGCTACCAGGACATGCCCTGACAAAAATGGATAAATCTCCATTTAGTACGCTTTCGCAAAGTTTCTGCTACGATTGTACTACCAGTGTCAATACAAAAAAATTGATGCATATACTGATCATAGGGTGTAGTGCTACCCGGCTTCACGTTTATTGCGGTTCACCGAGGCCGTGGCGATGAACCGGATATGACAGACTCTGACGGTGTGCATAAACTATCGGTTATCAACGTTGGGAAGCAATGGTCCTAAGGCCATCACCACCGGTCACCCCACCACATATGACTAGTGTGATACTATCCTACTGACAAGCAAATGAAACATGTCGTACTGACTATGATGAAGTGGATGACCGCAAGATGAGCCGGCGATAACGTCGTGGATGGAAAACAACGACTACAAATCTGGAGGGTATGGCGCAGCTGTGAAGCGAACAGCTTTTGTTGCATTGCTTTAAGTGGCGAATCCTCCAATTCGACTAGTTCGATGCTAAAGTATTGATTGAATGAACTGACCTATTGTTGATTTTTGGTCCGCACTCTCACTGCAATTCCCTGATTAGTTTAAGTAAGCATCATTATAGTACAACTGATCGAAATGCTTGTATTCAATGCATACCAACGCACAGAGGGTGTCTTTAAGCATACCAAGGCAGTGCGGAGAGGCTGAGACCAGTTATATATTCGTTGCCGAACGATCAAGAGGCATAATGAGCAAAAAACGGAGAGCTACCTAGGAACGCTGCCCGCATGTGATAGTAGAGCGATAAATGACTATTAGTGAAAGGATGTATAAATTAAGGCGGTAGTCAAAGTAGTTGGAACCTAGATAATCTATGGACACCAGGGCAGAATGGAACAGAAGATTCGAATCTGATGTCCGTAGCAGTAGGAAGTCGATTCCATTTAAGGTTTACAGAGCGCAATGAATAACACAGGGAAGAGTTAAAACCGTAGCAGAATGGAGTGACAGACAAACCCACGAGGGGAAAAGAAGAACTTACACGGTCGTAGTAAAATACGTAGCGTCTCAAACACTCGCGAGCCTGTTGGCGAGCTTGATCTTTTGCCGGATCTGATACCTCAGTGTAACGGCTACACGTGTAATAGTGACCCGAATGAGTAGACCAGTCTGAAAGGGCCACAAATTTTTGGAACAAATTTAATGAATTGTACTAATCAGAGGGCGTAATCAAGGAGTGATCGATATCAAAAGAGGTAGACTGGTCAGGAACGAATGTGGATGTGCCTCATGCATGCGGTTTCATGCAGTCATTCAGAGTTATTCTGTGAATCATATCCACACGAAACGAACGTGTGTTACTCCCAACATGTGGTGCGTGCGTTGTTTATGCTGATAAGAAATGACAGGACTGCCCTTGGCGTCTCGTAGTTCGGTTGTTGGACATGCAGCGTAGTGACATCAAAATAATTCGTTGAAACGGATGTTTGGTTGTGTTGATTCCCATACCTTATGGTCAATTTTGGTACAGTCCAAAGCAGTAAGGCTGCTGAATTCTCACACAGCAGATCGTGTGTATTATGTCGAAAATGCGGTGAGCTTAAGTGTCACTGGAACGATAGCCAATACAAAATTTTAAATCGCAAGTGGTGGTTCTTAGTAGGCAGCTGTATGTTGTTGCACGCAGAGTTAGCTAGTCAAATCACCGTGGCAACTGAGAAGGAGACAACAGGTAGATAGTTTGTCACATTCACAGAAACACTAAGCTGGGATGTGCTGAGTGAGGTGCCGCACTCAAAGTGGGTTCCCAGAGCGATGACGCGGCATTGCAGCCACATCGAGGAGAAATGAATGAGAGTACAAAAGTAGAGATTAATGCAGGAGCAGTTCATTAGAGATATGCTCCTGGGTCGTATCGGCACCCCACCACGGAAAAGCCCGCAAATAATCTGAAGACACAGGCTCTGATGGTGTGAAGAGAATGCAAATAGACGCGAGAGATGGAAACAGATAATTGCTCGATAAAAAGTATCTGCCCATGAGATTGGTAGCAACAGTCGCCCAAAGGCGAAAAGTTTGTGAAGTCACAATGGGCAAACAGATAGGATTGAACTTGCATAGATAGAACACATAAGTTGGCGATGTGGATGTGCCACGTGGAGTTGAATAGGGAACTCACCTTCTAAACAGACCCAGCAGAATTCGTGGTTACAGTGCGTGCATTGCTGAAAGAAGTGGGGGAAGATGCAGATATAATGAGCGTTAAAAGGGCGTTATTAGAAAAGATATGTTTGATAAAATATGACATAAGGAAAACGTGGCAAGACTAACAACCATTAGCAGGACTTTGTAGAAATAAAAGAGCAACCGAAGGTAGCTGAAAAGTTAGTAAGAATGGTCAATATATGGAAATGAAAGAGTGTAGAGAGAGTTACGCAAACTACACCACTGCGCGTGTAGGATAGGGTACCTAATTACTGGCGTGGTCGAACCCAAGCCCTGAGAATGTGGTGCATTGAGATTCAGTGCCTCGATCACCCACACGCCTATGCTAGGGCATCGTTTGAGCATTGCAATGTTTTCGCCAACTGGGTACAGTATCGGCAATGAAGGCAAGCTGTGGTGGGCGGGAGACATGCGTACGAGAAGCACGGCCAGGTCAGTGTTGGTGGATAAGTGTCGCACCAAGGGGTCGGCGGCGAAACAACAACTGGCTGTACTTCATTTTGCCGCATCTTTGCAGTCGAGGTGGTCCTAGATGATCGTCCCGGCCGGTTACGTGAATCGGGTCTTACCAGGCGAGGACGCGATTACTTCATTGGCGTTGTAACCGGTGGCCGAAAGGACTGCACGCCTACATAGAAGCGGGCTACTTCGCGATATACTCAGCCATGGCGTTACTGGTAGTGGTCGCGACGGCGTACTGCTGATGTCTTCTGGAACTGGTTCATAAACGAGAGCCGCTGAATAAGCCGACGCAAAGCTTTGCGCGCCTCAGCAGCTATGTGGACTATCACAGTGCAATGCAGCGTTAAAAACCTGGGTAGGCGGATGCCAATTTACATAATCACTAAGCCACCATTGTCAACAGGTTCAGCTAACTAAGCAGCAGCAGCACTTTCGAACCGTAGACATAGTTAAAAAAGTGATCCTGAACATCGCAAGGCTCGTGTGGCTTTCTAGGGCCATAGATGTAGGCGCAGATGCTGACAAGTTGGGATGTACAACACTGCAGCGCTTCCAGGGTTGATGTATAGCCACTGTGCTCTGAAGAAATCGAGCAATTAGTCGCTGCTGACTGTCAACGCCTGTGAGGCGCCGACCACATCTAGCACGAGCGTTGAGAGGAATATAGATAGTTTCCGACTGACGTCTGGGAGCCGACATTCGGCGCAACGTAAGATCATAGATTGGGTTTGAACTAACTGTGGCGATTATATCACGTCTTCTTTATGAGCATTGATCGCGTACTTTCGTGTACGATGATTGTAGGCAGCACGTATGATGGAATGCAGGCCCAACTTGACTTAACAGTAACACTGTTAAAGTTACGTGCCGTCCGTCTGATACAGCTGAGATTCCAGTCAAATAATAAGTTAGGGAAAAGGAGTGAGTAGTCCTTGTGCATTTGATCCATTGCTTCTCGCCCTCAAACTCTCCGTATGACGTCTCCCATATTTTCTATATATCTGGTTCAAGTAGTCTTCATGTTTGATGTGGAAATACCGATGGGGTCAGTTGGATTGTCACTGAAACGATTGCAACGCAACTGATAAGAACAGTGAACATTTCGACCACAGGTTGGCCATCATGTTCTTGATAATTCCTCTTTTATTTCAGCCGCGTTTAGCAACAGCATATTGGTGATGATAATTAAGGCGACTACGTTTACGGTGTTTGGGTGGATGTACCATCGAACAGTAGTACAGAGATGTAAATCAGGATGGAATTCATCACCTAAGACTGGCTCTATTGAGGTATGGGTAACTCATCAGGTTCACTGTCAGAAGCCGCATGTGGACATGACCATGGAAATCCAAACCCTGGTCATGAGCAGTGATGATCAGTACGCCGCACGGTGGAATAAATGCAAAAAAAATAAACCGCTGTGATTTGACACCAAGCGTCCATCTTGGCCCTCAATACTTTCCCTTGATTTGACTTGGTTTCAATGCCACCATGTGTTAGTTGAAACAACACTTGCAAATTGGTTGGCTGGATTCACAAATCCAGTTAACTATCTCTTCACTCATAGTTCCCCTTCCGTTTAACTTGTTTGCACACTTGCCTCTCGCTTGTGAAAGCAGTGACGCGTTGGTAAATTGGATACTCAGGTCTTCTCATTACATACCTCTGTTCCTTAATAGTTCGCTTCCAATATACTTGATTTTGTCATTCGCTAATGAAACAACAAATACATTTATAGCACTTATATGATTGTGAGTTTGACCCGGTTTAACCGCTTACACATTTCATTGACCTTTTCCTGGCCAGATTATCCGCCTAACCCAATTTAAAAGTGTTGCTGGCGTATCGACTTAATGTTCTACATTCTTGTTATTATTACACGACCCATGAACAATCCACATCGAGTCTACGAGTCACAAACGCTGTTTCCAAAATACGCATAAAACTTATTTGCTGAACTGTTTTCCGTTGCTTAGCCTGCGATAATGTGTACCAAAAATTCCCACAAACTACACCCATTCAGTTCAAAATTGTGTGCACCTGAAACCCATAACTCTTTGTTACATCATTCACAAGTCATTTCTATCTTCAAGTGCACGATTGATTTACAATCCACTTATATTTAAAACATTTCTTTGCGGCGTTCGAGAGGGCATTTTGTCCGACGTTATGATGAGATGATTGGCACCAACAAACGAGGTAGTTTCGGAGGAAATATCAGCTTGATATCTTGTAGCGAATTGAACTAAAATTCCTGGCAATAGATGAACAACCAATTTACAATAACAGTTCTGAATGAAAACTGTGCATTATGATTGGATCAGTTTTACTGAACTGTGTCCCACATTTCTTTTTACTATTATTATTATTACCATTAATATTATTGCTGTTATTATTATTATCATCGATGAACGCGCTGGTTGCAATGAGAACACAAGAACGTGTTCATAACACGACACCCGAGGTGTACGGGGCTAGATAACTGAGACCAATCAAATGAGAAGCAAGATTGCGTGTTGCACTTCACTGCACTGACGATGTCACCTCGCATGCAGGTGTAACGTCTGCAACCAAACTACAAGGCTCGGAGAACAAATGAACAACTGTTACGAAAAGCAGTAAAAACCGTAAAATAACTTTTAAGTGGACAGACCGCTTAGTGGACCACCGAAGCTGCACCCCGTTGTCTAGAATGGAGATAACGATAACAGAAAAGCAGTCCTCATCCTTCATCATCGCGTCAAAGAAGTAAACCTCTTCGACATGGGATGAGCAGTATAGTAAGTAGTTCAGGAGATTACCAGTAGAGAAAGCACCGAAGTGGGGTAGATTCAGCTTCTGTGGCTACTGCCGCCAAATACAACTACTACTACCAATGAAAAATAATAATAATAAGGATATTGAAACTGAAAGTACGGAGAATATTTGCACCCGGGACGAAATTGAGGAAGTTGAGACGATCTCTTAGATGCATCGTCATCAGGTTTGACAACACCGCCGTTTCAATACCTAGAGAAGCTGCACCGAAGACACTGCCTACCCTAGTGACGAAGTGTCTAAAAACAACTGGTGATGGTAAGAACAGTGTGCTGCATATCTGGAATAGGGCATGCAGGCTCAATTTGCGTCATTTAGAGTTTTTGTTTTGGAGTTTTACGTTCCATTTGACATGAACGATAGATATTCCACTTTGTGGATCGTGGCTGCTCGATTGTCCTATGCATCAGTACGTCGGCACACCGTACCAACGTTTGCTGCCATGCAATTACCACCCTTCGCACGAGGGATGGGTATTGTTAGGAGGCGCACCTCCTAACGAACCGACCGGTGGCGCTTGCTTTCGACAAAAACCAACAGATTCTGCCAAAATTATTTCAAACAGCCTCGTTTAGCAATGAAAAGAATGTTCCTGAAGATGCTGATACTATTATTAGCAAGTAAAGAAGGAAAAGGAATAAAAAATATTTATGAAGGGCGCCCAATACCTATAATTGTAACCCGCATGATCCACCTCCTCTGGTCGTTGGGCAAATACAGGGGTTCACGAGGTCCGCCATCGTTGTTTGTCAGCCAATGCGTGGCCGGGGTCGAACAGCCAATCGGAGTGAAGCCGTGACCATAGCAACGCAGAGGCCGGGGGCTCGCGCAGCAAATTGGAGGGAAACGATGGTCATAAAGGTGTACCGCGAGGTCCTCCGTGCTTGAGCGGATTCGAATCAGCGATCTCACGGTTACAACGCAAGCGCGCAATCCATTCGGTCACCGATGTTCGTGTTATACTATCACTGCACTTAGCCGGGCAAAACTGCGAGATGACCAGTCTATGTCACGGCATTAAGGAATGAAGGCATTGAGCGAAGGACCTGGTCAAACTTATGCATGTAGTCTTCGTGGAATGGGGCCACAGTATAATCCACATGAGTGATTGGAGACCTTATCGGACATGTCGCAGTAACGCAGTAAGTGGCGCTCCTGCACTCGGTTTCTTATGTCAAGCGGCCAATATTCCATCTCGATTTATTTAACGCATTCCTTTGCATCCTGCCTTATCTTCCCACCGTTGTTATCTGTTATTATCCTTGCGACACGAGTTGTGACTAACTAGGTCCACTGCACTTCGGTGCCCGGACCATAGTCGTGTGCGAGTAAGCTCGCGGGTTCTAGCCACACAAGACAGGCGGAATGCGCGCTACCGATGATCCTTGAAAGAACGGCAAGACTGTGCACTGCTTTTCTGGTCGTATGATGGATGCCAAAGCGAGTCTAGTTGTAATGTATGCAACATATACCACCGGGATCCTCCAGCCGCTAGATTGTGAGGGAGTAATAAATGCTTGATAGAGAAGAGGTCCGGTCTAGGTAGAACACGGCGCAACGCATCATCAAAAGTCTGATGAGTATAATACACGATCATACGAGGGCGTGCTCGGTGGGCAGAATGAAACAGCATGAACAACTCACTCACCATGTGATTGCAACCACCATTTTTCTCAATGCATACATGACACTCTGGACAGTCTTTAGTATGCGCAGCCATGTAGGTTGCGGTGCCAGAATCATCGTGACATTTCACTATCCAACGCTTCATGATGTCGCAGCTGGTGGGTGCGTGATACGGCTCACCGCACACGAAGCAAAAGGAGGTGTCGCAACGCGAACAAAACACACGCCGGGCCTTGGGTGGCTCCAACGCACAAATGACGACGGAGCAATCGGCGCCCACACAAAACCGAAGAGATGGATGACTCTAGGTGGAAGAAGAAATGAAGATGGATAACCAGCAGTGAACAACATAAACTGGATTTCGAATTGATGAAACAGTTGGGAAAATGTGATCCAAGCTACATGCGTTCTGAAAGAATATAAGCGCAAACACATGTGAATTTTGAGTGGGACAATGGAAGATTTAATCATCCATTACTATGAGCCGCAAAACTGAACCCTCACATCAATACGAATGAAAACATGACCCAAAGTAGCGGTAGGAAATTCAAAAGCCACAAAAAGGATAATGTACTACGAAAAGTTAACAGCGCGGGGACAAGAAGTTTTAATCAGATGTACCATAGCTGAATTGAGAAATAAAGTCATGACACACTTAGAAAACGCTAGACGGCTCTTACCTTGGTAGCTGTATCACTGGTGGTCACATCACTAAAGGAGGTTACATCGCGTAGTAGCAAGACCCGTGTGGCTTTCCATGCTAAACCATCTATGGAGAAGGCGGGATATCAGCTTTTTAGTGAGTGTGTATAGCGCTGCGATAAGGTCAGTGTTACTGTATGGATCAGAGGTCGGGCCAGTTCGCAGTGAAGACGTTAAATGCATGGCAGTGTTTGATCACCGGTGCTTGCGCAGTATTGCTCATGTTTGGTGTGAACATTGCGTGAGCAATGTAGAGGGCTGCCAATTGATTTTTGGCAAGATGCCTTCTGGTGCCTTTCTCGAGTGGTTGACAAATCTTAGTCGTTTGCGTTGGCTAGGCCATGTCCTCCGTATGCCCGTTGATCGGCTTCCTCGGAGTGCATTATATGCCATGGCTGGACCAAGCTGGGCGAAACCGCGAGGTGGCCAGTAAATGAGTTGGCATAGAAGCTTGAAGAAATTGACTTGGTCAGGCTGGTGCGTGCCGTCTTCATGGATGGTTGAGCTCGGAACGGTCCACACCAGTGGTTGAACACCCTTCCAGACATGGCGCAGTCACGAAATCAGTGGCGTTCCTGCATTCGGTGTCTTTCATCTGGTTGTTAATATCCGTTCCGTCCTGATTAGTCTAACGCGTTTCCTTCTTGTTTTCATTTTCCCTACATTCCCTTTGCACCCAACCCACTACCGGTGTTCATTTTTTGTTCTTACAATGTGAGTCGAGGCAACTGGATCCCCCGCACTTCGGTGCTCTGACCATAGTTGATCAAATGAACTGGACGGCGGTCTTTTAGTGGAATTCGTTAGAAACCCCCGAATCCCCCCGATTCGAACTTACAATCGTGAAACTCGTAGTCCGAAACTAATGCTACTAGCCAGTGCGTGACGGTAGGGTTTTAAACGAATAAGCGATTAAGTGAGATACGGAGACTTCACTCATTCACCACCATGTTCGCTCCTAAAGTAGCGCAAGTGCCGTCCCACCTACGAAAGATACCGACTATAAGTCCGCCGATCACGGGTTCGAAGTGAAAGTTCGCTACCGATGAGTTTGGATGAAACGCAGTTATCCCAAATGAATTATTCTCTGGATGCATAGTGGTTGTACGAACGTCTTACTGCGGCAAATCTGTTGTAAAAACCTAGAGAAGACTGAGGGAGCCATTTGGATCTAACTGGTTAGTGCCTTGTAAGTATAAATAATCAGTTGATGTAAGTTATACGTAAGCACTTGTAAATCTGGAATCGGATGCCGCCAACCTGCGTCGGTAAAGAAGTTCTTAAACTAGTTACAAAAGCATGACAGTAAGCAAAACAGGGCAGAAGAAAGTATGCCCATGTCTCATAGGCGGAACGCTTGCAGTTCTATCTAGCCAGTCATCTGAAAATCATACCTCATTAACAAGATAGAACAAGACTCAGAGACCCAGAAAAATCGTGGGTCCATAAGAGAAACTAGAGGGGGCACGGAAGTTGTGTCTGAAAAGAAAACGACATTTGTCCTGAACCGCACTGAGGACAACTGCCGGACACCTATTGTAGGACTGCGAACTTTTATGCCTGCTGCCTGACTACTATATTTGTAGATTAAACAGCTTCCAAATGGGTATCACGGTTCTCCGACCGTCTGTGTCTCGGCCTTATCTGCAGTGAACGCGTTCTGCATGGCTGACTTGCTACGTTGCACAACAGTTCGTCATTCGCTCGCTTCCAGACAGAGGACCGCCCACACTGTTGATGCGCACCAGATTCGTCCAGCTACGCAGACCGTCGTTGTGCTATATTTGGTCAGCTGCTCATCCGCCCAGTCATAAGCCAGCCGATGAGTACCGGGTTTCGTCAGCTTCGCACAGAACTCATCACAGAGCCATCCATGCTGCTGGCTCGGTTGCGCGCCGTAGCGACGAGGGTAGGTATTCACTCTGTTTGACACTTAACAAAGGCTTCAGCAGTAAGTCGGCACGCAGTACTGACGCTGTACTGCCGCGCAGCCACCACCGGTTACGCGTGGGCCAAAGATACTGCGAGGGTCGCCCTGCCTCTACGCAGGCTCGAACCGGGCCGTCAGATTACAAGACAAGCTTGTTACCTTTAGGCCAATCTTACCGAGAGCAAACCGCAACAAATTTAAAGTCGGATAGCCTAGCACGCATTCGGAAAGGCATCAGACGACCGTTCTGGTCCACTGGGACTCCTTGGTGGTGCGCATTGCTTGGTTCAAGCAGGAATTAAACCAACAACATCTCGATAGTATAAGCTTGCGCCACTTGTTATGGCCTTTGACACTAAACCACGGAGGACGGATCAACCTTTACTGCTATGCGAGTCACGAACGTTGTGGGAGGCCGGGACTAGAGGGGCCATCCCTGACCGAAACGTACATGGCAGAGGAGGATGACTCGCGTTATACCACAGTTATGGTGGTCCAGTGCCGTTTCCCGTGGTCTAGTGTCACAAGATAGTGGCGCAAGCCGCTAGTGTCAGGAGATAATAAGTTCGGATCTTGATGGAGCCGGAGAGTGCGCATCACTGAGCGGTCCCAATAAGAAGGAGCAGAAATCTGATGCTTTAACGAAAGCGTGCTAGGCTAGCTGCCTAGGAAGCTACTGCAGTGAACACTCAACAAAGTCTCATCTAAAAATCCCTTATGTTGTATCTTGGTAAACACACTAGCTGCGCCGGACATTGTACTCAGGAAAAAGTTGCTCACAGTCTGAGTACAAGCATGCAGACTCTGGGGGCGAACAATCGACAAACACTCGTTTAAGCAGGTGAGTGTGTACGTGCGTACGGGGAAGTAGATAGAATCAGTGGTTACGCGCACACAACATCTTAAGCATGAGTGATCGGAACAGGCTTGCTGAAGCCAACCCCAGCGTGCACCACACGCACTCTGACTCGGTTTCCGCTTGGTGAATAGACATCCATAAACTCCGTTTGCATTCAGAAACTTATTTATGTGTATACAATTATATAAATACAGATTTCCACGCACTATCGCAGTTCCTTTCCAGTGTGCAGAAAATGGGCATTAGAAGAAAACCAGTGCGCCGTACCGACATTTCGCTGCCACTCCACCGCCACCACTGCAAGTCTTCCGCATCTATGCAGATTCGAACCGGTAAGCTCTGAATCACAGGACCGATGCCTCGTACCAATCGGCCACCGGCCGACATTCTCAGCGCGTCATGAACTGTAATACGAACATTTTGCACGTTAGCCAAGGATTGATTTATGATACCATAGCTCACCACATCAAAAAGAGGATGCTGAAAGCAATTGTCTAATCTGCAGAAAAGTGATTGGTATCCGTGAATCGGTAGCGCTAACCTCCCTGGTTCAGTCGTCAGTGGTGAGGCATGTGTGTCCGCACATATCATTAAATCACTTGGACCAGTAGCGTGAGGATATCTGCGTCCGAACCGACTGACACATCAAAGCCGTCAGAGTGAAAGTACTGCTTCAACGCGTATCACGATGCCAGTGAAAAATTGGGTCGGGAGATCCACGGCAGCACAAGTTAGACACGACGCCTGCGTGGGTCGTAGACGTGTTAAGCGGTGGGCACGTAATCAGTTTAATACTCACTGACCCGTTAAACAGACGAAATGGCTTCTACTACTCCTCGCATGTCTATTACACGTTGGTGCCGGGTGGAATTGAGCCGAACCTGAGTCTGACGAGTGGCGTCCCAGGTGAATACCTAGGGACGTATCAAGTTACAGCAAGTACCCTGTATCATTTAACGACAGCGCAGTCCGCGCTTGGCAAATTGCATGCAAGTACACTCAGGCCAAAGCGCAGTAGGTGATGTGATTATAATAAGAATATCAAGTTTCATAGACCGGCAGCATGTCTGTCCGCCAGATGAAATTTTTCGCATTCGTTTTTGACAAACACCCATGTGGACAGCTACACATACCACTTACCACATACAAGAATACGCACTGATTAGGTATGTTGGTTTCACATTCCTGCTTGGTGGATTCCAGAGTAGACACTGCATGCGTTGCATCTTGTCGCCTCAGTCATACTTATATTTGAGTGGCTGACACTAATCCTCACGTGATAACGTCATCTTCGGTTGCGCTCAGTGTGAGCGCTGAGTAAGCGTTTATCCACACATGTCGCCGCCATTTTTAGCATTGATAGTTAAGGAGAGCAGACACAGTAAACAGCCTTTGTGAGAGTAATGGGTCAAAATGTGTTTATCATGAAATAGGTTACGGTATAGTCATTTGGTGCACAGGCTCAATCCAATTCAGTATATCTGATGTGAAAACTGAAAGAATGCAGACCGGTTTCAAATAAAGTGTAGCTCCCATTCGTTTGCAACGAACCCAGTTAATACAACTAGCTACGACATAACAAAAGAAAACCACAAAGGGCAAAGGCAGAAAGTAAAGTGGTGGGAAGATAAAAATTGTGAAATTAACAAAAAGAGGACCGAATGCAGAACCACTGTTGATTGTTCCATGTTAGAAACGGTCTCTATCCACCGATGTGGTGAGACATTAGACTTTGTATACAGGAAAATAGCGTGTGCTAATCCATCCAGGCATTACGATCAATCATATCCAGTTTTGGTTTTCACATCAATGA